CATGGCGAGTCCTGGCGAGCTGCAGACCCCGGCCACCGCCGTCGCCTCCTTCGACTACCTGGTGATCGGCGGCGGCTCGGGAGGGCTGGCCAGCGCGCGGCGGGCGGCGGAGCTCGGCGCCAGGGCCGCGGTGGTGGAGAGTCACAAGCTGGGTGGCACTTGCGTGAGTATCGGGGGGGCCCCTCGGGCCGCGTCGGCAGCGCGCCTGCTCCCGGACTCCGCGCGGGCATCCCCGGGGGGGCTTTCTCGCTCCTGCCAGGCCTTGGGGCCCAGGAGATGGCGGGAAAGAGGGGGGAAAAATAGCGACCGAGCCCGCCACGCAGCACAGGTGCAATGCCAAGGAAAGCCAAACACGCAGCCCAGCTTAGCTGCCCCGCGTGCATCTCCGTGCGGGGGAGTATCGCATCCGGCGCTGGAGCCAGGGAAGCACGAGAAACTGCCTCTGGGAAACTGCTGATGGCGTGGGCGAGTGGAGAAGGAGAGGGCTCTGGTGTTGAGGAACGGGGACCTGAGAACACATTTTAAGGGCGGAGTGATGGGTGACAGTCGTTCTCAACTTTGGCTGCGCAATCGGAACCCCCTGGAGAGTTGAAGTTCTGCGGCGCGTGTTCCCGCGCATCCATCCGAGGCTCCCCACTGTGCCTGGAGGAGCAGCGTGGGTGTGTGAGCAAGTGCAGAAACTCGCAGTTGATCTGTACTGCAGCCAACGCTGAGAACGACAGGCTACTTTAGGAGACGTCTGAAGGAGTTTCTCAGAGCTTTATGATATACTATTTGCTTTGCATTGTTTGGGGACAGGCTTTCAAATTGCAAAGGGGTGGGGGTGGGAGACAGAAAAAGTGGTAGATTGAAAAACTTTGGTAGTTTTTAAATAGTCTCGTACCCACGTTAGTGTGGCCCTTTCCTATAAGATCTAGAGTTCTTGTTGGTGACTAAAAATGCTGAACCCAAGAGTCACCTGAGACTGGGGATAGGTTCTCTCAATGCCTTTGAAGACTGACGTTTAAATTATACTAAATTGGGAACTCCTTAGGGGCAGGGATGGGTTCGTAAATTTGTGTGCTGTTTGTTACCTTAAAGTGCCTTGTAAATTTGTGTGCTGTTTGTTACCTTAAAGTGCCTTGTAAATTTGTGTGCTGTTTGTTACCTTAAAGTGCCTTGCTCCGTAGCTGTTTGTGAAACGAATGAAGCTGGAGATGAGTAGCTGTAAGCAGGCTCAAGCCACTGTTGAAAATGAAGGGAGGGAGGCGTTAGGAGAAAGGAAAAATCACTGTTAATGATTGACATGCACTCTGAGCCTGCCGCCCTCTGCCCTCCATAAATGGTGGGAGTTTCTCACTTCTGCCCTTCTCAAGGCTTTTGCTTTCTCCCTCCCTTGCTCACATCACCGTGGATCGGTGACATCTTCTGCCATTGTTGCTTCTACTGGCCTCAATAAAGAAGGGGCTGGTGGGTTTGGGTTCCCAGTGAGAAGAAGGTGAAGACGGAGATCAAGTGCAAGCAAAGGACAGCTCAGAATGGCTCAGAATTGCCGCCTGTGGTCCACCTGGCCTTGCCCAGCGCATCCTTATGCACTGGCTTCCATCTCCATCTAAGCACTGATGTCTCCCGAACATCCGTTGCTGTTCTAGTGAGGATCTCCTCAAAGTAGCTTTTGGCCTTGGATTACAAGCAGGGTAGGGCTGTAATCAGTGTCAGAGAAAATGCAACCAAAGGGTAGATAAGGGTTTAGATTTGCCCGAAGATTGCGGTTATGAGAGCTGACTCACACAGAGTAACTTCCAAGCGTGTGCTGGGAAAATAGAGGTTTTTCTGAAGCACATCCTTTTATTCATGTTTTGGGTTCTTAGAAGGAAGACGGTAGATACAAATTATTTTTCTACAGAGGTCCCTTTCTTCAAGGAACTTGAGGGGGGCTGGAGAGATGGCTCCGTGGTTAAGAGCAGTGAGTGCTCTTCCAGAGGACCCGGGTTCAATTCCCAGCACCTACATGGCAGCTCACACCTGTCTGTAACTCCAGTTCCAGAGGATTCAACACCCTCACAGAGGCATATATTCAGACAAAACACCAATGCTCATGAAATAAAAATAAATTAATTAAAAAAAAAGAAAAAAACTTTCAAGGAGCTTGCGGTGTGATGGGGTGACCAAATACAGCCAGCCACCAAGTGGGATTAGTCTGTGGTTGTTGTATAATGTTTATTTGTTGAGTGCTTCCATGGATGCCCGCAGACTGCATGCATGTCTGGTACCCACAGAGGCCGGAAGAGGCTGTCCTTGGATCCCCTAGACCTGGAGTTACAGATAGGTAGCTCTTGGCTGCCCTGTGGGTGCTGGGAATCCAACCCGGGTCCTCTGGAAGAGCAGCCAGTGCTCTTAAACACTGAGCCATCTCTCCAGCCCAGGACTGGTGTGTCTTAATTATTGCAAGTAATGACCATCCAAAGTAAAGTAGTTCAGGGAAGTGTTAATTCTCATAACTTCCTGGAGCACGCGGGAGGCTGAAGATGGCTGGATTCAAGGCCAGCCTGAGCTATGAAATGAACCCTGGCCCCATACAGAGGACAATTAATTAAGTCTTCCTCCAGCAGTGTTACTTCCAGGTGGTAGGATTATATTTTATTTCTACTTGTTTTATTTTTATTCATTTGTTCACTGGATATTATTGAAAAATCTTATGTATCGGGAGCTCTTTATAAAGATGTGTTAGGGGCCTGTAACCTCCCAGTACTCAGGAGGCAGGCAGATCTCTATGAGTTCAAGGTCAGCCTTGTCTACAGAGAAAGTTCCAGGACACTCAGGGCTACACAGAGAAACCCTGTCTCAAAAAATCAAATAAACAAATAATAAAATAAAAATTTAAATATAAAATAATTTTCAATTTAAAAATAATAAATAAGATTAAAATAAAAACAACTGGCAGACCCCTTTGGGCAACGGCTTGCTCTTCTATTACTGCAGTGTTCTCTTACACCTGTCACGGCTGTTTCCTCTTCAGTTCCACCGTGTGTGTGCCACTCAGATCCTCCTTTCCCGCCTCTCCATCACATACTCATTTGTAGAAGTGGCCTTGGAAGCCTCGGTGTGTGGCACAGTATACAGTTTTGCCCAAACAGCTTTGCTTGCACATGTTCACTGAAATGAGTCGTTGGTCTGGTTCAAGGCCTCTGGCTTGAATCATCAACTTCTGCTGCATCATCAGTTGTGGACCCTCACTGAGACTCCTCTCTGCTACCCTGCTGTTGCCCGGAGACATGGAAATCAATCATGCAGTTATAGTTCCACCAGCTCTCCTGTGCCCACACCACTGCTGGCAGCGCCTTATGAGGGGTAAGGCCAGCTTTCCAGTGGGTGGTGTCTGGAAAGGGGCTCATCCAACTCTCCCACTACCAGTGAGGGACCGGGCCAGCTCAGCACCACCCTCTGATATCAGCGTGGCTTTTGGTGGTGATACAGGCCATCCATGGACATCGACATAGATACTGGCTGCAGTAGGACCAGGAATCCAAAGAGTAACCCAGACATTATCATGGCTCTCAGCCATAGCCTGGACATTACCATGGCCCCAGGTGGCAGCTCAGGCCACTTAGAGCACATGGCGCCCAACAGTGCCAGTGTGGCCCTTGGACATCAATGTGGCCTCTGGTGGAGGTTCAGGCCCTGGGTGGTGGCCATGACATTAACACAGCCTCTGGCTGCAGTAGGGCCCCTGACCCAGATGTGACCCTTGGCAGCAGCTGGGGCCCCAGCAGTGCAGGCCACTCCCCTCAGGCTGTTCCTCACCGCCCATCTCCAGTTTGGCCTCTTTCCACAGCAGCACGTCAGCTGCTCCTCTTCTCTTACTCTCCCATCTCTCTATCCCATACTTGCTCATCATAGTGGCACCCGGCACGGGGCGGTGGGATGGGGCTGTCGTGAATATATATTTTTTTTTTAGGACTCACTATGTAGCTCTAGCTGACCTAGAAGTCACTCTATAAACCAGGCTGGCTTCAAACTCAGAGATCTGCCTCCCTCTGCCTCTCAAGTGCTGGAATTAAAGGTGTCTAGGCTGGCCTCAAAAGCACCAAAAGGGGAAGATGACCTTGAACTTCTGACATTCCTGTGTCTACCTCCCAAGTTTTCGGATTATGGACGCGCATCACCACTTCCTACTTTATGTGGTGCTGGATGTGCGCCTGAGGTTTTGTGCTTGCTGGGGGAGCATGCTGCGTACCAGCTGAGAAGGTGCTAACATTCTGTCACTAGCAGTTTTATCAAGATTTACTTTGCCAGACGTGGTGGTGCACGCATTTAATCCCAGCGCTCGGAAGGCAGAGGCAGGTGGATCTCTGAGTTTGAGGCCAGCCTGGTCTACAAAGCGAGTTCCAGGACAGCCAGGGCTGTTACAGAGGGGTTAAAAAAAAAAAAAAAAAAAAAAAAGACTTACTACATTTATTTAGTTTGGGGAGGGGACATGCATGTCATGGCATATGTGTGGAAGTCAGAGGACAGCTTATGGGCGTCAGTGTCTCTCTCTTTTGTTTTAATTATCTATTTTTATTTTATGTACATTGGTGTTTTGTCATGGTTGTTGGATCTCCTGGAATTGGAGTTCCAGATAGCTGTGAGCTGCCATGTGGGTTCTGGGAATTGAACCTGGGTCCTCTGGGAGAGCAGTCAGTGCTCTTAACCACTGAGCCATCTCTCCAGCCCCCAGTCAGTGTCTCTTCCACCATGTAGGTCCTGATGATTAGACCCAAGTTGTCAGGCTTATCAGCAAGCATCTATCCGTTGAGCCATCTTGGCAGCCCCAACTTGGTATTTTATTACCTTCCTTCTGCTTTTTATTACAGGAAATTGAGCCCACGCCTTGTATATGCTAAGAGTATGTTCTGCTCCTGAGCAATACCTCCAGCCTTAAGAATAATATGTATTTTAGCGAAAAAACAGGAAACACGGGTCCCTGTGTTTTTTGCTTCACATAGGTCCTGATATAAAGTCAGGGGAACTTCATTTTGTTCAATCTCTTTGCTCTGCTAAGGAGCAGAATGTCAGCTAACACACTTGAGAACACTCCAGTAAGCAGGCTGAGGCCTGTGACACTGGCCATAGACACCATGGCTTCTATGTATCCTGTGGGCTGATCTGTGATGGGATAAAGGTTTGTGGGCTTGGGGTTTG